TGAAAGATCAATATGCTCGTCGATGCAAGAATATAGGTTATGAAGTAGGTGATCTTGTTTGGCTTTATAATCCACAACGTCGTTGAGGCTTGTCCCATAAACTACAAAGACAATGGAAAGGTGCGTATAAAATTAAAAAGAGAATAAATGACGTAATATACCCAATTAACAAGCTGTCGAAAGGCAAACCAAAAGTATTTCACATAAATCTTGTTGCACTTTATGCTAAATCAAATGAAACAGAAGAAGCACGAACCCTTCAACATAAAATCAAAGATGACTGGCGACTAAACTTAAATGAATTTATGTTAAATTGCGCAAAGAGAAAGAGTGCTAGATTCGGCGTGACCACAGAAGTTCAGCAGGATCTTTTTAGTTATTCGCATAACGTCTCTCTAGCCCAAAGTGTTGCCAAAGACCTTGAGATGACTAAAGGAATCTCATTCATATTCTATAAAAAGTTCAGTCGTTTAGATGAGTTAAAAATTTCAGCAGCCTTAAATTGGAAGAGTACTAAGATTAGAAGAATGGACTCGATCTTTGCTGTATATAGTGACCAGGAAGTCATATACAGACAAGGTAAGCTGTGTTGCCAGAGACCTTAAGATGACTAAAGGAATCTCGTCCATATTCTATAAAAAGTTCAATCGTTTAGATGAGTTAAAAAATTCAGCAGCCATAACTTGGAAGAGTACTAAGATTAGAAGAATGGACTCGATTTTTGCTGTAAATAGTGACCAGGAAGTCATATACAGACAAGGCAAGCTGCTAGGATATATGGCGTGCTTTAACTAATCTGAAGAAAATCGTGTAAAATTATGACTTCAAGAATTTGGAAATTTACTAGAAAATCGGGATTGAAAGATTGTCAGAAGCATGCTTAAAGTGATCATCCGAGAAACCGACGTACGAATTACTATGTGTTGCATTAACCCGAAGAGATTGTATCCTTTAAAGTTAGTAGACTGTTATTTCTTGTTGAGAGGTTTATGCACAGCTGAAGAGTCCTGCAGATTCCGCCACCCTGCGCCTAGATATAGAGTTGCTGATCGAGAACCTCAGATCGAAGAGGGGAGCACTGTAACGAACGAGATTATTTCGATGTACTCTATGTAAGGGTTGCATCTCGTGACACTGATGTGTTGCTAATGTAGCGACCGGGTGAAATATCAAGGCGTCAATACAAGCGAAAATTGAGGTCGAATAGAAAACAATGATACAAACTAAACCTACTTATTGTGCGAAAGGCACAACACACTCTGTTGTTTTATTAAAATAAACATAGGTTTATCTACACACACACACACACACACACACACACACACATATATATATATATATATATATATATATATATATATATATTATATATGTATATATATATATATATATATATATATATATATATATACATATATATAATATATATATATATATATATATATATATATATATATATTATATATGTATATATATATATATATATATATATATATATATATATATATATATATATATATATATCAGTGGCGGCTCGTGGCTTGAGAGACAAGGTCGGCAAGGTATTTTTTGTCTCCACAGATAGGTATACCGTCCAATAAAGACTTCAATCATCATAGGAGATTTTTTGTTTTCTTGTTTTTTTGTTTTTTTTTTTGTTTTTTCCTTTAAATTTAGAACCTAAACATGTTTATAAATTAACTCTAGTCTACGTTGTTTGGAAGTAGCAAAATGGGTAATAACGTCATCGTAAAATTTATTAGAGTTTTGAAGAGATTTTAAAAGTTTTTTTTTCTATTGACATTTGAGACAAGCTTGACATTCTCTCTTGTTTCATGGTATTTCGACAATAATTTTTGATTCTTTTGAGGCAAGAGAAATCTCGTTCATTTGAGGCAGACGTTGGTGGTAATGAGAGAATTAATGACAATAATGTTGGATATAGATAAATAAATTTGAATATTTTCTAGCAGTATCATCTATTGTCTACTTTATAAGTTGAATAATGTATCACTTTCCTTTTTTAGGGTAGTAGCAAAATTACAGTCATACAGTAAACACGTGTTTCATTTTGTTCATCAAATTTCGATTTTTGTTCCAGAACTTTATAATTTCTCAATAAATAATTTATTAATTTCGGTAACAGTTTGTTGTAATGAATTGCAATATATAAAATTATACATATCTTGTAACTTATCCCATCTTCCGAAAATATTTGGATCAGCATATAAAACTTTTAATTCATTTTCTAATTTTATTTTATTAAAGAATGATGGATAATTTTTAATCAACCTGTCTAATAAATATCTTGGAAATTCTTTGGCGTAACTTTTAAATTTTGAATCGTCAAAGAGGTCAAAAATTTGCAAATCTTCAAAATTCGAAAAACGAGTATCTATTTGCATAATAATAGTATCCAAAATTTCAAAATAGATACTCGTTTTTCGAGATCTGTTTCTTTGTCATGCCTTTATCTTTTTTTGGGGGGTTCGGAAATATCAAGCGAGTCCAAAACGTCACTGCGTATATACTGGAAATTACTATCATTACGAAAATCTGACTGAGATTTTGCACCAGTCTTGTTATTCTATTTTTGGAATGAATAATGTCAGTTAACTGATTTTGAACAACATTGAATATCAAATCGGTTTGGGTAAACACTTTCTTAAAAATATTTAAAAGTATGTTAAAAGAGTAATCATTTAATAAAGTTTTCAAACCGATTGCTTTATGGATCGAGATATCATCACTTTCAAAATCGTCACATTCAATAATAAAATCAAAAACTTTCAAAAGCTGTTCACGAAAATCTGCTACAGTGAAAACTAACCGAGATTTAAAATTCCATCGCGTCTGACAAACTGTTGGCATTTTTTTCGAAACAAACCGTTCTAAAACATTAGTCCGTTTAGGCAAGCTTGAGAAAAATGAAGCAAATCCGCTTAAACTGGCAAAAAAAGACGACATTCTTTAATTTTTTTACATGTATCTTGCAAAACTAAATTCATTCTATGCGCATGACAATGAGTAAATAAAGCTTGCGGTGCAATAGTTTTAACTTTTGCCTGGAGACCATTTAATTCACCAGACATCACGGCAGCGCCGTCATAAGTTTGCCCTACCAATTTATTTTTGATATCAAAAAATTTTAATTTGTCCTTTAAAACACCAAAAATATGTTCTGCCTTATGGCTTTTACTCACGTCTGTAAAACCTAAAAACCTCTCATAGATATTACCACGTAACGCGTATCGAACAACAATTGATAATTGTCGAATGACATGATATGTCGGTAGTTTCATCTACTTCTAGTGAAAAGCAAATGGTTTCCTGAATCTCAGATTCAATAATGTTACTCAAAATGTAACTAATTGATTCTTTTAATTCATTCTGGATTGTTTTAGATACACCGCTAAATGTCTTCGAATCAGAAAGTAAATTAGAAAATTCCAAATCGTATTTCTTAAACATTTTTATTAGTTCTCTATAATTACCTTGATTTAACGAATGCTCCGATTCATCGTGTCCCCTAAAAGATAATTCCTGACAACTTAAAAAAATTACAATATCAATTAAACGACGTAAAACTGCGTGATTATTTTTTACAATTTCGTTATGTTTAATAGCATTTTCATGTTGGGCATTATCTAATGAAACATGGATATTTTGTTTTCCAAATAAATCTAATTTAATCTGGCTGTAAGTATGATCTTTCGAAATAACATGTTTATGTAAAGCCCTAAATAATTCCTTTAAATTATCGTAACCAGATTCACACCACGGATTTTGATGTTTGCCCCTATTTGTCGAAACTAAAATGCAAGGCCAACAAAAAAGTTTGTTTTTTATTTCACTCCCAGTAAGCCATGAGTACTTGCTGTACCAATTATCTGAAAATGATCTATTACTTCCCTTACCCGCACTAATATTTATAAGTCGGGACATTTTAGGCAAAGGACGCCCCTTATTTTTAATAACAATTTGTTCTTCGTATGGAATTGATGAAAACCCATTATGCAAAATATAATTTACAATATCAGACTTATCAATACTTACAGTTTCTCCCATGGCTTGCATTTTTTAGGTGTTTACTGAATTTGTTTACACTTTAATTAAAAAAAAACTTCTAATATGTCAAAAAACCCTTTAACCGTTAACTATTTACGGCAGACGTAACGTATCACAGTATTACTTTAGAAAATAAAAATAAATCACAAAAAGATAGGCTAGTTCGTGCACTGAATATCACTTCAGTTTACTACATATATGAAAATGAAATAACATTTCGTCCCACGCTCGCAATGTACAGTTCGCGACCAATCACCAATCCAAATGAAACATCGGCAAATTTAAATTTGCCGGACTTAGTAATTAAGTTCATATGGAAAGAAATGTATATTTGGTTGCTAATCAACCAATATTCCGTTGATTTTTACAAGTAAAGTCAAGGTTGGGATCGGCTAGCCGAAAAAACAAAACGTGCCTTTTTAAGAATTCATAGGCGGATGGATGTCTCCGATATCGGAACATTTATTTGAAAAGTGTCTACGCAAGGATCACTTAACGCTCAGATTGGACGAATTCTTTTAAAAACCATGAATAAAATTTAGTCTTTATTATCTCACAGATATTTTTTTAGTTCACAAAAACAAATGACATCAACTGATTACCTGCCACAATTATTTATTGAAATACTGATTAAGCTGCCGACCCTGACCGGCCGCCACTGATATATATATATATATATATATATATATATATATATATATATATATATATATATATATATTATATATATATATATATATATATATATATATATATATATATTATATATATATATATATATATATATATATATATATATATATATATATATATATTCTACTTAGAATATTTAAAAACATTCCAAATATTATGAAATCAACTTTTCTGAATGAAACATAACCCCCTAGAAGTGAGTAACCCTGTAATGTGTAGGTATAGTGATCGATACTTACTTTACACACGTGTCTGGTATCCTCAACGGTGTATTTGCATATGAACATAGGTTAATGTAAGATACGGCTGACATGCAAGCCTCTTGTTCTGTTGTACTATTCAGGCACATATAGAGGAAACTGTCCTTTGGTATTCGTGAAAAACATGTGCTAAGTTGAGATACTTTACTCGTGAAAAATTCCTCACAAAGAGCCAATATTTCCTTGAGCGGCTGTTTTCTACTCCCTTTTTGCGCCGGAATGTCGTTCTTGCAATTTTTGTCTAGGGACCAACTATCCCCGAAAATCTTTAAAGCTGAATTAGTGACTCGAGTTTTGTTTGAGGTTAAAAAGTCGTCTGTTGGCTCGTTGTTGTAAGTTCCCCAAAGACCGGCTGTTTTTCCAAAATACCAACCTAATTAGAAAATTATTCATAAGTGAAGTTCAACAAATAAATAAAGGTATAACAACATATAAAGTAAGTAATAAAAAATCCATTTCCATTCCATCCCAAGTTAATAAAGCAAATAGTATATTTTAATTCCATAGAACGGTTAACTTTTTGCTAAGAAAAACATTAGTAATACTGTGAACAGATTAAATAAAGTCAGCTATTTTTTCTACAGGGTTATCAGCATGACTACTCACGAAACGATATACAAGAAAAACTTTATTTGAAAATTATTAACTCGATAGAGATATTACACACTTTACAATTATTTTAAAATATACAGCGTATTGAATAAAGACCAAACATAAAATCTATTTTATTTTAATCATAATAATTTACTGCACAGTATATCGTTATAAAATTTTCCTCAGTTTCACATTACCGTCATATAGAGTTTTACTGTACGCCACATTGTTTATTTATAATATTTACTTGCAGTAGGCATTGTGACCTGAACAGAAAAATGTAAAGGGTTGCGGGGTAATATTGCATTTTGGTTGCGTTGGTATACTTTGTTTGAAAATTATTGATGGCACAATATTTTTGACACAGCGGATAACCCTCAACCTTTGGTCATAAGCTAGTGATTAATAATTTATAATTTATTTGAAATATCTCAAAAGTAATTTTACTAAATCCATATTATGGGCACCTACATTAACTTTTCAGGTATCTTTATTAAGAAGCACATAACGTTGGTCTATTTTTCAAAGGTCGTAACTCCAAAAATGCTAACTTTACAGGAGAAGAAAAAAACTGAATAAATTGTATTATATTAATTTTATGGATGGTTTTATTCATTTTGTAAATAGAAAAGGTTATTTATATAGTTTCCGATAAAAAATAATACATTTTCACATTTTAATATTTAATTACCGGAGATACGACTTTTCTGGCTAGAATCTTAATTTTACTGAGGAGATACGACATTTTCTTTTGGGAATTAGGGTATACAAAATAAAAGAGACACACAAGATGTTAAAGTATTTATTTATTTATTACAATATAAAATTAAAAAAATACATAAAGAATATTAAACTACTGCCATGGAAGATTATCATAAAAGTAATGATAATCCGTTGGAAGGGTCTTCTTTAGCTCCTGAAGATCATTGTATTTATTCTTTGTTATTTTCAATTTTTCGGAGTAAAGTTTAGGAATATCTTTCAAATTCACTGGTTGAATTGATGGAATATTGCATCGTAAAGGCAGAGGTTTCCACTCTTGTGTGAAACGTAACTTGTAGTTAATTGAATCAGGCTGGTATTGAAGTGCAACAATATCAGCAACACAAGGGTCTCCGCGTCTTTTTCCTGGTCTAATAGATTTTATATTTTTCAATGTACCTTCAATATCTAAAAAAAAATGAGTGGTAAAGGTACTTCACGTCATAAGGCTTGGGCTTTGTACGAGCTTTCTTAATAGCATCGCAGTAATCTGCTGGAACATTGAAACTTCTTGTTCTCACTTGGCGTTCAATTTGGGAGTGGACCGAATCTGCTTCCATTTGAGTGTGTCCTTTTTTTAGATATTTCTGTTCAATTTTTATGTTTTTAATTTAGCTACATTAAGGAGAGCATTCGACAGAACAGCATTTCTGTTTTGGTATCCACACCCATCACTGTATAATGTAACTAATTGATCTTCGCTTTGTAAAGGGCATTCACAATTGATAAAGTCGCAGATCATTGATGAAAACTCATTAGCCGTGAGTCCACCTTCAGATTCGTGCCAAACATAACATTTTACCTCTTTAGTGTGTAGGCTAAAAAAAGTAAGATTGTGTACAGCAAGCTTTGTTTTATAATATAAACTAGAGACATTTGATTTTGGACAAAGCAATATACTTTGTAAGTCCATTATGAACACGTACTTTTTGTTTGTTTTGTCACTTTCCTTTTCAGCTCTGGCTTCTTCCTTTTTCAAAAGATGAATATCGTAGATTTCTTTTGAAATTTGGCCCACTTTGTAACCAACACAAGTTTCACATTCATCTTTCTTAGGTCTAAATAAGCATAAATTTTTGTCCTCAAATGTATTTGAAAATACAAAATAGGACAGTGGTTTTGTATCTTTTTCTTGACTCCATCTACAATACTCCCTGTAAAGATCTTGTTTACACGTCCAGTTGGGCTCTAAATACATTTTGCTTGAAGACTGCCTACATTAATGTGAGTCCATTTTCACCAAGCTATCAAAAAAATCATGTAAAATGACACTAGATTCTTTCTTAGCTGATTTTTTCTTATATCTAGGTTCTACACTTCGTGACTCATCGTCATTTAAGTTTTCAAACTCATTCAAAGATTTTTTCCATAGTCGAATTGCTTTTTCCCCCAAATTCAGAGTGGTCAAAAACATTGTCCTACACACCCTTAGTGTTGTGTCATTTACTATCAAAAAATAAAGAAAAGTTGACTGTCTTCGACTTTTTCCTATTTCTTGTCTGTCTCTTGCCCTTTCTGAGGGTTTCACCTTTACGAGGCTGGTAACAAAAACTTTCTTTGCCTTCCAAGACATCTTCCAAAACTGGTTAAATATCTTTGGCCTATCTTCTTCGGACAATGTACTACATTTCATAATGGATTTTTCTCCTCTGGTACAGGTACATCTTTGTTTTAAAGACTTTTGCTTTTTGGGGATATCGTACTTCCATTTCCCATCAATATTTTTTTTACCTAAATAGGATTTACCGAGTTCCCTTTTATTCTTGTTTTTATTTACGGCCCACTCTTCTAAAACTACTTGGTGACGTTTTTGTCGTTTTCTTTTATTAGAAGTTGGCTCTTCTCTAACCTGGACACCTTCTTTAATAATTTTCTCTCCTCTAAATTCAACTGTTTGTTCAACTTCAAGTTCTACTGTTTGCCCAATTTCAACTATTTGCTGAAGCTCTTCAAGTTCAACTCTTTTTCCAACATTCTGAAACTGATATAAATTATTATTCAGTATAGTTGCATCACTGGAAAGAACTGGGGGAGGCCTATGTCCAGCAGTGGACGTGATTGGCTGGTGGATAGTTTCATCAGGTTGTATGCCGAAGTTGTCTTCCATCTCAATATTCTCGCAAATATTAATAGCATCAAATATATTAAACTGTAGGCTTTTATCAAGAACACTGTCTTCTGTAACTGTTTTAAAACATGACTGCTCAGTAGGTCTACCATCTTCAACTATGTCATGGTGTAAGCTTGTTTCAAAAGTTTGATCAAAACCATCAGTGTAAGATGACATAATCAAAGGATCATTATTTAGCACTACTCCAGTAGACCTACCATCAAATGAAGTTTCTGCTGAAACAGAAACTTCGGTATTCTCATTTGAGGATTCTAGTTTAGAGAGGGATCCAGTATCACTTATAACCAATATCTCATTTTTTGAATTAATAGCTCTATTTAAGATGTTAAGAGTCACCTCAGATGTATTTACACTATTTAACATTTCCATAATTTTACGGCTTCTACTGGTCATGTTTTTTCGAAATATTATTATTTCTTAATCTGAAACAATACAAAAACACTGAAATTATATATATTTGTAAATAATAAAATAATGTTCAACAGGTTAAGTGGTTATACGTTAGTTAATTTAGAAATAAACATTAACTAAACAGCTATTATAATAAAAATTTATTCTCATTTTGTTAATCAATAAAACAATCATTTATTATTTTCAAAAAAAGGTCTTGAAACTACTAACTCTTCAATAGATATGTAATTAACACTTTTAGCTGGTTAGGCGGTTTTAGGATAGTTTATAAATAAACATTTTTTTAAATAGCTTTTATGCATAAACATTGATTGGGAATTTTGTAAATCAATAAAACTTAATTATTTCAAGAAAATAGGTCTACGAAGTATTTCACCAGAAATATATTATTAGCTTTATACTTACTTTAAAAAATTTTAGGTTAATATGGAGTTACGTCTTTTGTAAAATTACTTTTAAGGCAGGAAAAAGACCTAACTCCTGTAGTATATTTTACAGAACTGTTTTATTAAAAATTTAAGTCTAAATAAAAAATGTATTTTATTTATTAAACAGTGTATTACTTACCTAATAGAATAATAATTAACACGAAAGTAATTGACAGATATTTACTTAACAATGAGCCTCTGGTATCAACTCTGGCCTCTGAACAACTGGTATAATACTAAACAACATCGACTATAGAAAAACACATGCGCGCATTGGAGTTAGGGCATATGAAAATTTAGATCAGATGGTGATTTCCATGGTACAATAAACTCTCATGGTAGAATCTTGCGCATGACATTTGACACTTTTGACAGCTGAGGTCAAGCGGGTGTGACGTAGCAAAGGTCCCTGTGAGCCATTATTTGTAATTGTATTACTATATTGTGTAGTGGATTTTTTTGCAAAACTCGTATTGTTCATCTGTTTTTAGCGATATTATTCTTTTTTTGGATAGTATATATGTGTTGTAGTCTGTATAGACTGATTTAAGAACATTTACTCGTTTATTTGCTTTCGTGTATCTGTTTGTTTTTGTGAAATTTTGTAACTATTTCAAAATGCGCTGTGCAGTTGCTACTGGTGATAGTGACAATAAAGATAAAACCTTAAGGTTTCATACGTTTCCTAAAGATAGTGTGGTCAGGAAACTGTGGATAATATCCTGTTGTAGAAAGGATAATTTTAAAAGGATTTTACTTGAATGATTAACTGAATACTTTCCTCTGGAGTGGTCCAAAATACCAACTTGGTACCTACCTCTTCTCTTTGAAGTTTTTGTTGATGCTGCTATCACATCATTGAGTGACTAAAGTCTTAGCACATGCACATGACATAAAATTATTTCGTATTATTCTAGACCATTCTGATTGTATTGGGTTACAGAAATTATTGGGCAGTTTTGCGAATTGGCGTGTTATTATCAAATTAACTAATTGTAAAAAATTTCAGGTGATCCTTGTGTATTGATCTCATGAGCCGATAGTATT